GATCTCCTACATCCCTTCCAAGTGGATGGCAGTGGTTGCTGGGCACCATCTAGTTCTTCCGTAACAGCATTATTGATAATAATAAAAATGTAGAGACAACACAAAGGCCCACCAACTGATGAGCTGTTGTTGTTGTTATTAGGTGCTATCGAGTAGTCTCCAACTCACAGTGATCCTATACACAGCAGAATGAAACACTGCCTGGTCTCATGCCAGCCTCATGATTCTTGCTATACTTGAGCAACTGATGAGTGGATAAATTAAATGTGGTATACACATATAATGGAACATCATTTAAGCATAAAAAGAAATAAAGTACTAACATAAGCTACAACATAGATGAACCCTGAAAATATTATGCTAAGTAAAAGAAACTAGTGACAAAGGCCCACATATTATACAACTCCTTTATATAAAATGCCCAGGATAAGCAAGTCTGTTAGAGACAGAAAATATACTAGTGATTACCTTAGGGGTAATGGGAGGATTGGGAGGTGGTTGAGAGTTAAAGGTATAGCGTTTCTTTCTGAGGTGATGAAAATGTTCTAAAACTGATTGTGGTGATGATGGCACAACTCTGTGAATATACCAAAACTCACTGAATTGTACACTTTAAAGAGTTCAATGTGTAATATGTAAATTCTATCTCAATAAAGCTGTTTAAAAGAAAAAAGAAATATGGATGTTAACAATTCTGCTAGTGAGGACTCAAGGTAATGAGGAGCATGGTACAGAATATCTATTTCTTCCTGAACAGACTACTGGTAAAAATAAAGATGTTAAAGTCATTACTGGTGAGGGCTCAGAAGGAAATGAGGACCATGTTATTTTGAAAAATGAGGAGAGGAGATCCTTGTTATATAGTGACAGAAATTTTAGTGGAATTACATCTTGAAGTAATGAGGAAAAGAAGAACTTGTAAACAATGAAACTGAACATTTAGCTGAGTAGATGTCCCAGTAAAGTGTTGAAGGTATAGCCTTGTTTATTCTTTTGTACAGTGAAATGTGAAAGAAAAAGGAAGAACTGTTAAACAAAAAAGAACTAAGACTTGATTATTTGGGGAAATTCTCAGCCTTTCCAGATTGAAAAGGCACTAAAACTGAGAAATTTATTGCCAAGAGAGAAAAAGCCAAGGGTGCAGCTGTACCAGTTTTTGTTAATACCTCAGAAGGATTTAAATTTAAATTTCAGAGTATTCACTCACACAAGAGGTTCTCTGAAGAGATTGTGTGTAACTCATAGATCCCTTCAGCCATCTCAGCAGAAGTCAAAAACTGAGATGCGAGTATCTAGCAAAGATGTGTGGAAATCTTACAGATACAAGGAGACCCACAGGGTTATTGAGAATATTGTATCAGCAAAAATACTGCCAGCATGGACTGAAAGGGATAGGAAGAGGACAAAATGAAATAAGACTGTTGCACTCCCAAAACTCTACAGCCAAAACCAGATTGATAAAACTACTCAGTTGAAAAGATGAACCCTTTTGCACATATAGTACTACATTGTCAGTGAAAGCAAACATTGATATACGGGTGGATAGTTGGGTGAACAGGCTGAACTATTAGGTATCTCTATGCAAAGGGGAGTGTGCCCAAGACCATGTATAGGGTTGGCAGACAATGTTTCTACAAGTATATTTGTATGTTCTGTAAGAATTCCTAGGTATACAGCAGATCTGACAAGGGACAAGTTTGTAGTCACTTCTTGGCCACAGCCAGCTACCCAGAGGGAGCGTGTAGTTGGACTTGTGAGCTCAGGACCATAGTTGCAGGGGACATCAAGCTCAATTGGCATAACATACTACACAAAAACACTGTTCCATATCCTACTTTGCAGAGTAGTGACTGGGATCTTAAAAGCTTGCAAGCGGTCATCTAGATGCAAAGATGAGTTTCTCTTCGTCCAGAGCATATGGATGCAAATGTATCAAATGAATGCCTACATTCATTTCAATCAAATCACAACTGAAAAGAAAAAAGACTCTTCTGCCAAAAAAAAAAAAAGAAAAAAAAACTACTCAATTGACAAACCCAAACCAAAAAGCCCACTGGCACTGAGTTGGTTCTGACTCACAGAGACCCTATACAACATAGTAGAACTGCCCAACAGAGTTTCCAAGGCTGTAAATTTTTACGAAAGTTAAGATGGCCTCATCTTTCTTCTGTGGAGCAACCGGTAGGCTTGAACCACCAACCTTTTGGTTAACAGTCAAAACGCTTTAACCACTATACCACCAGAGCTCCCTGTTCAAAAACCACATGCTACCTTTTATGAAAAAGAAGAGGATGACTCCAAGGGTGGAGTACAAGCCCAAACAACAAACTCAAAAGTCCCAGAGGATTTTAGCCAGGCCTTGAAACCAAATAAAGGTTGCCTGGGCAGATTTTGAAATTGCTTGGAACCAGAGGCTCCTTTTATCTCCCATTTTAACTGTTATCCTATGCCTGTCCCACCACTGTATTTCTTGAGTTCTACAGGTTCTTAGATGAAAAGGAACTGTGCCCCAAAAGAGATTAGATTATATGCAGTCTCACTCACACTTGATTTAGATGATGACAATTTGGACTTCTGAACTGATGACATTTAGATAACAACTTTAGATTCTGAATTGATGCTATAATGGGTTGAGACTTTTACGGACACTGAGACAAGATAAATGTATTCTCCATGGGGACAAGCAGGAATCTTTAGGGGCCAGATGGCAGATTGCGGTAGACAGCATAATGCTCCTCCCTGCAAAGAGTCCACATCTTAATCTCCATAACCTATGAATATGTTACCTTACATGGAAAAAATAACTTTGCAGATATGATTGAATTAAGGATCTTGACATAGGGAGATTGAATTGGATAGTTCAGATGGGTCCAGTGTATCACAAAGGTTCTTAAAAGTGGAAGAAGAGTGCAAAAAGGGCATGGAGGCAGCATCTTCTGACGTCCTGTAACTTCACAAGAGGAAGACAGAATCACCATCAGCAACCCAAGGCTTATTCCTATGAGGCCAGACATGCCATCACCCTCCAGCCTTTTACCAATACTGATACCAACTGTCCCTCCCACAGCACTCACTACTCATCTGCTGGGTTTGATTCACTGCAGTGTGTGGCCACACAGACCTCACAGACAATACTCAGGATTATGGGGTTTACTAGGGAAGCTACAGGCTACAATTCAGGTTCTAGAACGTGCTCAGGATACAATTCTTCGATCAGGACAGACTCCCCTCTGTTATGCCCTCAGGCACACCTCTCTGGCCCTCAGCCTCTCCGTCTGGTCTCTGCCCTGCTTGGGCAAATGTTACAAAGCTCTTTTAGCTACTTCCGTAGTGATACTGCCTCGGAAACCCAAGGAGGGGTCGCTATGAGTTGGGGCTGACTTGACGGCACATGACAACAACAACAACAACATAGGTACACCTAGGTGCATCCCACTCTGTAAGCAAGCCTCCTAACCAAGGGCACTCAGCATTCCTGCTCCATGGGACAGGTAAGCCCACTGCTCTGTCTCATGCCTCTTGGTTCCACTGCCACTGTCTCTCTGCTGGGGTGTTGCTCAGCCAAGGAAGTCCAGTGCAGGGATCCTGGGTCCAAGGACATACTCCACTTCACCTCCAGCTCTTCTCTCTTGATGGCAGTGATATACCCTCTCTGCCTCTAGGAGGGCTCATTTTAAGCCTGGCAGAGTGACAAAACTAACCAATCCCAACATCAGAGTTCTATGTACCTTATTTACATGGTGCCCCCAATAATCTGGTTGGAGTTACAAAGACTATGGCTAGAAAAGCCATAGCAAGTAATTCACTGCACCGCAAATGGGCAGAAGAGGAAGTTAAAATGATGTGACATGAGAAGTACTCTGCTGTTTTTGGCTTTGAAGAGGTCACAAGCCACAGAATGTGGGTGCCCTATAGAAGCTGGAAAAGGCATAGAAATAGAGTCCCCGAGTCCCCTCTAGAGCCTCCAAAAAGGAGCACGGTCCTGGCAACATCTTGATTTTAGCCCAGTGAGGCCTGTGTCTTCTAAATTACAGAACTGTAAGATATAAAGCCATTGAATTTGTGATAGCTTGTTAAGCAGCAGTGGAAAACTAATACAGGAGTAATAGGGCATCATCTCTGCAATGTATTCTTACATGGTTCAGAAATGTTAACAACTAGGGAATCTGCATAAAAATGTATGGGAATTCTACGTACTATTTCTGCAACTTTTATCTAAATTTGAAATAGCTTCAAAATCATTTGTTTAATTGGGAAATCACATTTTTATTTACTAGAATATGCCAGGTTAGATTACCTTTCAAAGGCTGTCGCTATTCAGTCAATTCTGACTCATGGTGACCTCATGTGTACAGAGTAGAACTGTTCCACAGGGCTTTCAAGGGTGTGACATTTTTAAAGCAGAACACCAGACCTATCAGGCATCTCTAAGGAACTCTGGTGGTATAGGAGTTAAGACATTTGGCTACTAACCAAAGGTCAGTAGTTCAAACCTACCAGCTGCTCCAGAGAAGAAAGATGGGGCAATCTGCTTCCATAAAGATTTATAGCCTTGGAAACCCAATAGGGGTCACTATGAGTCAGAATCGACTCAATGGCAGTTAAGTTTGGGTTTCTTGGTTTATCAGGCACCTCTGGGTGGGTTCAGACCTCCAATTTTCTGGCTAACAGTTGAGAGTTTAACCATTTGCACCATCCAGGGACTCCCTTCTAAAGCTCACTCATTCACTCACTGCTGTAGAGTCGGATCAGACTCATAGCGACCCCTCCTTGGGTTTACAAGGTAATATCACTAGGAGGTAGACAAAAATGCCTTGAGGCTATTTAAATCCTTATATTAATTCTTTCTTCCCTGAAGGGGATTCCACCTATGCGGATCACCTGATCCACATAGCTGTATTCCAGTAGACCAAAAGACAGAGAAATATCCAGGAGGCTATGGGTCAGTCTCCAGAACTTTCAACCTCTATCTTTAGATTCCGAGGCTCCAGAGCCCTTACCTGTAAATAGTGAGGTGGGGAGACAAAGGACGGCTTGAACTTCTGTTCTTATTCCAGAACCGTTCCATCTCTTCTTTGGCTGTGGTTCCCAAAGGAATAGAACTAAAATAAAACCAAAGATATCAAAAAGATTAAAAGTAAGTTTGGTTTAAAATTTTCTATAACAAAAAGTTACCAATAAAAAAAAGGTAAGCTCACTGGACCAATCCTCTGTATTAGGAAAACTTGTTCATCCACCTTCTTTATTATTTATTTATTTATCTTTGGTTGTTGCTGTTGAGAAAATACACAGCAAAACATACACCAATTCAACAGTTTCTATATGTACAACTCATTGACACTGATTATAGTCTTCAAAATGTGCAACCATTTTCACCTTCCTTTTCTGAGCTGTTCCTCTCCCATTAACATAAACTTACTGCCTCCTAAGGTTCCTAGCTAATCTTTTAAATTGCTGTTGTCAATTTGATCCCATATAGATAGATCTTAAAGAGATCGTAATGCTCGAGGCAGACATTCTTTACTAGTTAAGGTAAACTACTGTTTGGTTTTAAGAGGACTTCAGATATTCCTCTTATATTTATGTTAACCTTAACCATTCAATAAAGTCCTATGAGAGCATAATTATTTCCAATTCCCCCAACACAGACGTCTAGCAATGAAAGCCCAATGATTTTCGGGCAGCAGGGAAAGTATGTTTAAAACTATTTGTGTAAATGAACTATCCTTTGTCAAGGCCACAGGTGCTGTCGCATACATTACTATCTGCCGTCATCAGCCCCTCAAAGCTCTCTTTTACTGCTGGCTCACCTGCCAATTTTTGAGTCTCATCATAGCTATAAGAAAAATCTCTGATAAATCATGTTGTCCAGACCCCAAGTATACCTTGTCTTCATATTCTTTTCAAAGAATACAAAAAAGAAGATATAAACAATCCAATTCACTGTTCGTGACTCATGTGTCTGCATCTTATAATTTTGTTTCTTTTTAATTATAAACCAAGTGTATCCCTGAAATAAAAGCTGGTATCCAGTATAACAATTAATTACATACAAAACCAAGTAAGATTTGGGAAAGATGGATATTAAAGTACCATTGGAATTGGAGTAAAGTTAAGGAAAAAAAATTAACTCAGAAAGAGAAATATGGCCTTTGATGCTAAAAAGAGGATTTTTTAACTTCTTTCTTTGATGCAGGAAATAAAAAAGCATCCTGTGAGAAGCTGTTACAATAGCAGAGGTAAAACTGGCTACCAGTTACTACAAAAGGAAGAGATGGTATCTTAGTCATCTAGTGCTGCTACAACAGAAATACCACAAGTAGATGGCTTTAACAAACAAGTTTATTTTCTCACAATTTAGGAGGCTAGAAGTCTGAATTCACAGTGTTGGCTCTAGGGGAAGGCTTTCTTTTCCTGCCCACTCTGGAGGAAAGTACTTGTCTCTTTGACCTTCTGCTCCTGGGTGATCTTCATCTGGACCGGCATCACTCTTCCCCATCTCTGCTTTTCTCACTTGCTTATTTAACCTCTTTTATATTTCAAAAAAGATAGACTTAAAACACATCCTATACTAATTCTGTCTCATTAACATAACAAAGACAACCCATTCCCAAATAGGATTATAACCGCATGCACAGAGGTTAGGATTTACAACATATTTCTGGAAGACACAATTCAATCCATAACAGACAGCTATTTAAAAAATAAGCATAAAAAATTCAAATCTCTGACAGATGAAGTCCCAAAACACTTTGAACAGAAAGTCTATGCATGAAGCAATGGTTGTAAATGTATCAGATAGGGTATGTGTCACAAAAACACATAATGCGGAGGGGCAAGGGTGGAGCTAAAGCTTGACAAATTTACTTCAGGCAAAGAGGGCCCTGTTGGATCATTAACCAAAATATGTGGTAAATCAGAGTTAATCTTAATCAAAGGAGGACTGGCCTTTGTCAAATTCTTGAGTTGACGAAGATGATGACTCTTGAGACGAAAAAGAGGAAAAAGTCTCTAATACAATTCAAAGTAACTAGGAATTAGCCGGATGACTACAACAGAGTCAACACCTAGTTTGAATCTGAGCTAAGGGAAAGAATCATCATTTAAGAAACATTTATAACTACATATTCCACCTACTTCTCAGTTTAACATACTGTTTAACTTCTGTCTTTGATGCAGGAAATAAGAAAGCATCCTGTGAGAAGCTGTTACAATAGCAGTTTAAAGCAAAAGTTGAACTATCAGTTGTAATACGCTACTAAGCTATAGCCCAATTTCACCCTTGTTTGTAGTTTCTTCATTCTCAACTATGATCTACTGCCCCCTATCTTTCTAAATGTTCCCATAATCATATCCCTACTATTTTATTTTACCTATCTACAATACTTATTAGGTACTTATTATAGTACAGTACCTTATTAGGTCCCAGGGTGGCACATACAGTTGAGTGCTCAACTACTAGCCAAAAGGTTAGCAATTCAAAACCACTTAGAGGTACCTTAGAAGACAGTCCTAGTGACCAGCTTCCAAAAGCTGGGGGTAGTCGTGCATTGGAATCAACTCAAGGGCAACTAACGATAGTAGTATCAAGTACAAGATTGTAAGCAATACTGGTGATTGACCACTAAAGTATGCAGCTGATTAATATCTATATAGAGGGCATAAAAGATTTTTATTAAATCAAAAGGAGATTTAAAATCTCTGGGAGCACTGTGATAACTACAATTTTAGCACTCTAAGTACTATATTATTAGTCTTTAAGTTCTCAAAACTCAACAACTGGATTCAGCTCAGTACCTCTAAATAGTTGTTTAGTTTCCCTTGTCACCGGGCTAGGTTGAAACCAATTATTAAACAGCTATTTGCAACAATTTAATTTTTAAAATTTTACTTATTTTGTTGTTCAGTATACACAGCAAACATAAACTTAATAATTTCTACATGTTTAATTCAGTGACAATGATTATATTCTTCTAGTTGTGCACATATTCACCTTCCTTTTCTAAGTTGCTCCTCCTCATTAACATAAACTCACTGTTCCCTAAGGTTCCTATCTAATCTTTCCAATTGCTTTTGTCAATTTTTTCCTATAGAGATAGTTCTTACAAGAGCACAATGCTCAAGGCAGATTTTTTTACTAGGTAAACTAGACTATTGTTAGATTATTAGAAAGATTTCAGGGAATATTTTTGGTTTAAGGTTTAAATATTATCTCAGAGCAAGAGTTTCAGAAATTCATCTAACCTCTATGGCCAGAAAGTCTGGATTCCATGAGAATGTGAAATTCTGTTCTGCATTTTCCCCTTATGATAAGGATTCGTCTATAGACTCTTTTGATTGAAACATTCAGTAATGGTAGCTGGGCACCATCCAGTTCTTCTGGTCTCGTGGAAAAAAGGCAGTTTCAATAATTTAATTTATTCTGTACCTATATTAAACATGATCCCATCCCCTCAAGATACTGACAATGTATCTATTTAAATGTGGAGATGTGGATATTTAGTCTCAAAATACCTCCCCATAGATTATGAATTAAAAGAAAAAAATTATAGTGAAGAAAAATCTAACAGACATCTTATTCAAATGATCAAAGCTAGATCACTGATAATGAGACAAATAATATTATGTGACCTTCAATTTGACATACTGTAACATCACTTACTTATTACTCCTACCAAAAATGTATAACCTAAATCTAATCATCAGACAAACTCAAATTGAAGGACACTCTACAAAACAGATGACCTATTTTCTTCAAAAATCCCAATGTTATAAAAGACAAAGGAAGGCTAAGAAGTAGTTCAAGATTGAAGATATTAAAGGAACATGACAATTAAATAAAATGTGTGAGCCTGAACAGGGGAGGAAGACTGCATTTCTATAAAGTACATCACTTGGGACAAATGAAAAATCTGAAAATGGATTGTGTATCATATAATAGTACATAAATCTTAAATTTCCTGAATTTGATAATTACACCATGTTATGTAAGACAATGTTCTTACAGGAGAAGTATTGAGAAGTTAAAGAATCATGACATCCATAACTTACTCTCAAAAGGTTTTAAAAAAATACCAACAACACTTAAATATGTATTAGGATGAATGATACTAAATTGTCAGTATTCCACCAGCTTTGACTCCCAGAAATAATAATATCATCTGATTCAATCTAAAATATAAAGTAATAAACAAATATCACAAAACATTAACAATTGATGAATCAAGATGAAAGATACACAGAACTTCATCACATTTTCCTTCCAATGCTTCTGAATACATAAAATACTTCCAAAGTAAAAATAAAATTTAAAAAAAAAAAAAAAGATTACTGATACAGAGGCAACTACAAAAGTCAACAGACTAGGAATGTATATGTTATTTGCCGTAGAGTTGGACCCGACTCATAGTTGGACCTCTCCTTGGGTTTCCGATAGCAACCCCTCCTTGGGTTTCCAAGGTGGTATCACTACGGAAGTAGACTGCCCAACCTTCCTTCTGAGGAATGTATATAGCAGGAAGAAATAAATTTAAAGACTAAGTCCTGAAAGCTCCCTAAAATTATATAGAAAAAGAAAAATTATAAGAGAAAAATATCATTAAAGGAAGACAAGACAAAACAGGTAGGAAAAATGAGAATTTATATCAAGGAAGGAATTAAAAAGTTGGAGCAAATAAATGAAATTAAAAATAACAGAAAAGGTGAAAGTAAGAAAAAAAGATTCTTCCAAAGAAATATCCTTCATTCTACTTCTAGATGAGAAAAAGTAACCACTACCACTAAATTTTCAGCCGATTATACAACTAACTGGGAGCTCTGGTAGCATAGTGCTTAAGGCACTTGACTGCTAACTAGAAGGCTGGAGATTCAAACCCATCAGCTACTCCTCGGAAGGAAGATGGGGCAATCTACTTCCACAGTGATACTGCCTCGGAAACCCAAGGAGGGGTCGCTATGAGTCAGGTCCAACTTGACGGCACATAACAACAACATACAACTAACTGTTCTCCTATATCTCTTGCCAAAATCTAAGTCAACAACCTATCGATTGTCTAGAAGGAAAAAAAAAGTTAAGCAATAATATTCTCCACAGATTTAGAAACTTACTTTCTGATACAGAGCCGAGAACTAAGGTGGGCACGGAGACAATGATGGCTAACATGTCTGCAAGATAAGAGAATCAAGAGTCAATACACATTTAGATATCAACATCAGTATATCAATTTTTCTTATTTTTGTACTATATTAGACTTATTTTTACAGCTGCCATCAGGTTGGCTCCCAACTCTTGGTGACCCCCAACTCTTGGTGAGCCCATGCAAAACAGAAAGAAATGCTGCCCAATCCTGTACCATGCTCATAAATGGGTAAAGACTGAACCGCTGTTATCCATAGAGTTTTCACTGGCTCTGGCTCATTTTCATAAATATATCATCAAGCAGATCCTACTCTGTCTTAGTCTGGAAGTTCTGCTGAATCCTTTTAAGCATCATAGCAACATGCAAGTCTCTACTGGCAGAGAGGCAGTGGCTGCACATGAGATACACTGGCCAGAAACTGAACCTGGGTCTCCCATATGCAAGGTGAGGATTCTACCACTGAATCACCAATGCCCCTGACTTAAGGGTAGAGCACCAGATTTAAAAACAAAACAATGATTGCATCAGGGCCCTTGATATTATTTTCTATTTGGAATACTATAACACTAAATATCTGGTACTTGACTGTTAACCAGAAGGCTGGCGGTTCAAACCCACTAGCCACTCCTTGGAAGGAAGGTGGGCAATCTACTTTCATAGTGATACTGCCTTGGAAACCCAAGGAGGGATTGCTATGAGTCGGGTCCGACTTGATGGCAAATAACAACAACAGCAACAACAACAAATATTTTAAGAATAATTAGAAACGTGATCTATAAATGCAAAATAAAATGTTAACGGAACACCTAACACAAGGTAGAGGAATAACCAGAATTGGTAATGTTCAACAGAGAAATGTAGAAAGTGATTTTTTTTAAAGCTAGGTCTTAAAGGAGTTGATGGTTGAAGATGGGGTTAAAAATAAATAAATAAAATAAGCCACTGGCAACAGTAAGCATATAGCTTAGCTATAGCAGAGGTCTGCTACAAACGGATGAATTAAAAAAGTTGAAGAGAGGGAAAACTGCTAGATCGGTGAAACAAGTATTGATTTGGGTGAAGAGAAAGGCAATATACCAAAAGCATGTGATCAGCATAGTAACACAAGGAAAAGAAAGATCTGGAGAGATACACAAGAGATACAGACAAAAAAAGGTAAACATTTCTTTTACACAATGATGCATTATCAGTAATAACAAGCATTACTCTATGGTAGATACATGGGTCAAAAAAAAAAAAAAAAACCTCACTGCCATCAAACTGGGTATGACTCATAACAACCCCTCCTTGGGTTTCCGAGGTGGTATCACTACAGAAGCAGACTGCCCAATCTTCCTTCAGAGGAGTGGCTGGTGGGTTTGAACTGCTAGCCTTCTGGTTAGCAGTCAAATGCCTTAGGCATTATGCCACCAGAGCTCCCAGATACACTGGCAGACATGCTAAATGATCAGGTATGGGGAGGCAAAAGGGAATATACCCATGACCATACATAAGTTTGGCTGATGTATTTCTACACACGTATTTGTATGTACTATGTTGTTATGTGCCGTCAAGTCAGCCCCGACTCACAGTGACCCCTCCTTGGGTTGCTGAGGCAGTATCACTACGGAAGTAGATGCCCCATCTTCCTTCCAAGGAGTGGCTGGTGGTTTTGAACCGCCAGCCTTCTGGTTAACAGTCAAGTGCCTTAGGCACTAGGCTACCAGAGCTCCCTGTATGCACTATAAGAATGTCCATATAAATAGAACTAATGAAGCAAAGGTATAACTTCTCAGCCAAAGCCAACCACTCAGAGGGAGTGAGTTGCTGGGCCTGTGGGCTTGGTACCATAGTTGAGGGAACATCAACCTCAATTGGCATTATGTACTACACAAAAATACTGTTTTACATCCTACTTTGGTCAGGAGTGACTGGGGTCTTAAAAGCTTATAACTAGCCATCTAGATGCAACAACTGGTCTCTCCTCATCTGGAACGAAGAAGAGTGAAGAAAATCAAAGACACATGTTAACAATTAGTTCAATGGACCTAGTGGACCATGAGAACCTCAGCCTACAAGACCCTGAGACCAGAAGAACTAGATGGTGCTCAGCTACCATTGCCCATCATTTAGAAAAGGATCAAAATAGGAGATCCTTGATATAGTGGGAGAAAAACATAAAACAAAACTCAAAATCATAAAAAAAAGACTAGGCTTATGGTCTGATAGAGACTGGTGAAACCCCCAACACTATTGCCCCTAGTCATTCTTCCGGGCCTGAAACTAAATTCACTCTTATGGCTTCCAAACAATAGGAGATGAACAATTAGACCAGGTAGGTGCTCTCCATAGCTCAACCAGGAGAGATCAGAAGGGCAGTATCTGTATAGGGAGATAGCTCAGAGGGCAGGAATACACAGGAAAAGACACAGGGAAAAGGTACACAGGGAAGAAGTGGGAAGATAACTGTTAAATTATGGGGACTGTAATCAATGTCATGAAACAAAATGTGTATGAACTGCTACATGGAAAACAAACTTGATCTGTAAACTTTTACCCAAATCACAATTAAAAAAAGAAAAAAGGTTGAAGAACTAGGGGCTTAAGGAGGGAGGGTCCTGAATATAAGTTAAGTCATTTTAGGAACGACTTTGAAGATTCAATTAAAAAGTCTCTCATGTAATAGAATACACAAAAAGATGAGGATGGGAAGTTTTATCATTCACATGAAAAGGCACTTAAAGAGGATACAGAAGTTTTCTACTAAAAGGTTGCCATTTTTGAAATGCATACATCAGTACTGGAACTGCTTTTCAAGTCAAAAATCAAAATATGCCCATGCATTCTATTAATGAAAATGAAACTGACAGAAGTTTACACAGTATTATTGAAGATGCAACACTATACCTTTTTACTCAATCATCATACCCAATCTGCAAAAGCATTTAAAAGGGTGATTATCAAAGTGAAGCTCTGGGAATAAAAATAAAAACTTCATCAATTTTACAAAAGTTTATTGTATACCCAGTAAGTTCAAGGTACTACAGGGATATAAGATCTCTTAAGATCTAATGATCTTCTAAAGCTCACAATGTCCTTCACACCACTGAAACTAGATAAACAACTAGATGCACAAATATTTCAAGTTATGCTTTACACTAGGAAGTAGAAGGGTCCACTATTTAAAGGAACAAAATCTAACCAACACTTCCTTCTTCAGCTCTTCCCTCTTTCCAACTCTGGAGGCAAGAGGTGAATACAGACATTGTGTACCCAAGGCTCCCAGAAAGAAGTGGGAACAAATCTCTGTAAATCAATTGAAGTAATTGTGACTGTGAAGTTGCATGGCACACATTCCTCACACCAAGCTAGGCCCCGTCACTCAGCTACCCAGCAAGAGTTTGCAGAAGTGGGTTGGAATCTACAGCGCTTTCTGTCTAGAGCTATTGTTTCCCAACAAATACCAATGTAAACTTTCCACAAGGCCCTTACACAAACTAGCTGCAGATTCCATAACTTAATTTGAAATATGAAAAAAGTAAATCTCTACCTGACTTTCATGTTAAGCCAGGAATGCTGAGATTTTCTTTTTCCATACAGGAATGGTATTTTACATTTTATAGCTAGAAAATAATAGGACTTTTGTTGTTGTTGTTGTTTTATTTTTAATTAACAAAGTTTGTTGTTGTTGTTGTTGTTAAGTGCCGTCGAGTCGTTTCCGACTCATAGCTACCCCATGCACAGCAGAACGAAACACTGCCCGATCCCGCCCCAGCCCCACAATCCATGCTATACTCGAACCCATCATCGCA